TGAAGTGTGTGTGTGTCTCACTTTTTCTTTGATGGAAATAAATAAAGTGTGTGTGTGTGTCACGTTTTTTATGGAAATAAATGAAGTGTGTGTGTGTGACTTTTTTCTTTGATGGAAATAAATAAATGGAGTGTGTGTGTGTCACTTTTTTCTTTGATGGAAATAAATAAATGGAGTGTGTGTGTGTCTGTGTCATGTTTTTTTGATGAAAACAAATAAATGGAGTGTGTGTGTGTGTCACGTTTTTGATGGAAATAAATGAATTGTGTGTGTGTGTCACGTTCTTTCTTTGATGGAAATAAATGAATTGTGTGTGTGTGTGTGTGTCTGTGTGTGATTTTTTTTTGTTTGATAGAAATAAGCCTTGCAAGCCTTAGACTATTAGAAGACCAAGATAATGGATGATGATCACATTGAAACTACATCAGCAACCGGATGTGTTTTCAACAAACTCTCCTTCATTGTGAGCTCATAAATTCAGAATTTAGGCAGAAATTAATCTTCGCCATTAACAAAATGACTGAGTACATTAACCTGGTGAAGATTTCAGGAGCGACGCCGGAATGACCGGGGACATCAAGACTTTCCGTACCTTGGAAACACGTCATTTTTGTAAGTGAAAACGTGAGATTAATTGTCGTCGTCTATCAAATAATCAGATTTGTCACCAAAGCGCTTTTCATCAACCGTCTGAAAGTCTTTCATATCATCCTCCTGAAAAATACGCCTATTTTTCACAGCGTCCTGTAACACCCGCTTTTCCATGGTGGACACTGGTGTTGTTCACAGTGAACGTCAATGTGTGACATTTTTATTACGGTGCATTTGAGCCCAGCGCTTTGGGAGGCCGAGGCGGGTGGATCACGAGGTCAAGAGATCGAGACCATCCCGGTCAACGTGGTGAAACCCCGTCTCTACTAAAAAATTACAAAAAAATTAGCCGGGCATGGTGGCGCGTGCCGGTAATCCCAGCTACTGGGGAGACTGAGGCAGGAGAATTGCTTGAACCCAGGAGGCGGAGGTTGCGGTGAGCCGAGGTCGCGCCATTGCACTCCGGCCTGGGTGACAAGAGGGAAACTGTATTTCAAAAAAAAAAAAAAATTCTGTTTTATGGAATCTGCATGTCTCGACTGCTACAAATTTATGGGTTTTTTTTTTTTTTTGCTTGTTATATATATATATATTTTTTTTTTTTTTTTTTTTTTTTTGCTGAAAGTCTATTTCAGGACTGACTTCTACTGGTGATTTTTGTATTTCAGTAGACACGGAGTTGCCCCACGTTGGCCAGGCCAGTCTTGAACCCCTGACCTCAGAAGCACAACGAGACATCTCGTTCTCATGTCTGTTTTTGGCTTAGATGGGATGCTCAACCTCTTGGCAGGTGTTTTTTTGTGACGTGTATCGAAGAACAGGTGGACGGCAGAATTCCCATCACAGCTCAGGGCACCCCCCAAACTTCTGGTCCCAAGACACCCTCCCACGTCAGCACCCCAAGTACCTGGGACTACAGCCATGCACCCCCCATGCCCGCCTCAGCCTCCCGAGCAGCTGAGATTACAGGCGCCCGTCACCATGCACGGCTAATATTTTGTATTTTTTAGCAGACGCAGCGTCTTACCGTGTTGACCGGCCTGGTCTCGAACTCCTGACCTCAAGCGATCTGCCCGCCTCAGCCTCCCAAAGTGCTGGGATCACACGCGGCCCACCATGAAAGTTTTAATGAATTTTAAATGAAGGTTTCTACTCTGTTTTTTTCCAGATCTGAGCGTCTCTGCTGAACCCAGGGCATCATCTTCGACAGGTAAAAAAAGCCACAAGATCCTTGGCGGGTGCCTTTTTCCTTCTCATATTTAGAGATCTCACGTCCTTCTTCATGGCCAGTGACTTTGTGAATGTCCCAAGTCAACCAGGGAGGAAAACCCCCAAATAATAAAATAATTTTTAAAAAAAGAAAAACACAGATGGCGTCTCACGCCACTTAGAATTGTAATCATTGGAGGTCAGGAGTTTGAGACCAGCCCGGTCAACATGGTGAAACCCCGTGTCTACTAAAAATACAAAAAATTAGCTGGGCATGGTGGCGCGTGCCTGTAATCCCAGCTACTCGGGAGACTGAGGCACAAGAATGGCTTGAACCCAGGAGGCGGAGGTTGCGGTGAGCCGAGATCGTGCCATTGCACTCCAGCCTGGGTGACAAGAGCGAAACTCCGTCTCAAAAAAAAAAAAAAAATCTGGAGACAGCAGATGCTGGAGAGGATGTGGGGACATAGGGACACTTTTACCCTGTTGGTGGGAGTGTGAATAAGTCCAACCATTGTGGAAGACAGTGTGGCGATTCCTCAAGGCCCTAGAAATAGAAATTCCATTTGACCCAGCAATCCCATTACTGGGTATATATCCAAAGGACTATAAATCGTTCTACTATAAAGACACATGCACACGAATGTTCATTGCAGCACTGTTTACAATAGCAAAGACCTGGAACCAACCCAAATGCCCA